TACTTCTAAATTGAATTTATATATTAAACATGTAAACCAATATTCTGGTTTCTTCTTATGATATTATGAAGACTTTTAAATTTTATTTAAAATAAATTAAAGGTTGAAGCTTTGATTACTTTGAGCTCTTATATTTATCATCAAAATTTATTTCAATTAAATAAACAATTTAAATCAAATAAATATCAGCCTGCTCAGTCCCTGTTTATTTATAAATATAAAGTAAATAATAATATAATCATAAATAAAAAATTTATAAAGTATTCTATTTATTATTTTATTTAAAGCTCACTCTACAGAGTTGTTAGATTACTATGGAAGCTTTTATCATAGATAGTTAATATTTGATTTCAGATACTGATGCAGATTTATCCATTACAGAGACAGAAGAAGAATGAATACTAAGATTTCAAAGTGTAAAAGATTAAAAAAAGCTATAGAAAATATTATGCAGTGTAAAGTTAAAAATAATCAAAAAAAAATACTTAAAGTGTGTAAAAAAGAAGTTAGTAAGAAATCTATCATTTGTACTTTTTTTTAGCAGCAGGTTCACAACAGTTGTAGTGGAATCCAAAATGGTCTTAACTTGGGTTTTTTTCAGTTTAGAAATTGTTCGTTTAAGGAATACAGAGAAGTAAAAAAAAAGATATTGAAATAAATAGCAATAAAAAGATAAAGTGTGTTTCTAAGATTTTTTATGTTGTAGATATAACTAGATCAGCTAAGAGTGTTTATTTAAAGAAAGAGTGATCAAGTGCAAAAGATAAAATTACTCTAGTAATGTTCAGAGATTTTTATCCACTTCTATTAACAAAAGGTGCATTAAAAATAAAAATAAAATATACAGCACATGAAATGATGCTATATAACATTAATATGGTTTGCACACAGAAAAAGTAGAACTAGAAGTAGGAAAATTTGGGGAGATTGTTTCAAAAAAGCTTAAGTTTAAAAAAAAAACGCTCGGTGCGGTCAAGAATCAGAAACGACATAATGAGAAATATTTAAACAGGGGCGCTGAGAGCTTTTGCCCTGCCTGGAACAGCAACCCTGACTGGCGTCCTCACTTTTATGCGATTTTTCTATATTATTAGTCAAGGACCATAGTTTTGGTACTTTTTTTTTTTTATACCCCTGCTGATCTGAATGCTGATTAAATTTTAAGCATATATAGTGCCGAAGTTTCGGCTTCGGCAAAGTGGCTTCGGCCGAAGCTTCGGCTTCGGCAAAATTTCAGCTTCGGTACATCCCTAATTATAAACATTTTTGTCTTTAGGTCTACTGAGCTAAAGGAGTAAAAACAGAGGCCTACTAGTCCCGGTCTCCCCTACATAAGATACTGTAATAGAATATTTAAAAAACTGTAATTTTAGAGAAAAAAAAATTAAAAATTAATAAGTTAAAATAAATTTTTTTTAATAAGTTAAAATAGAATTAAAATTTTATATTAACTTATTAAGTTTATGTATAAAAAAAGAAAACGTTGAATATACGTAACAATATATTCAAAATTTCTTTTTTTTTTAATATATAAACTTAGTTTTATAGTGAAAAAGTGTTTTAACTTTATATGTTTAAAACAATCTTGACAAAGTTTAAAGCAAAATCATGAAAACTATTAACTTCAGCTAAATTGATAAAATCATTTTGGTAACAAATGTAGGGTGCTTTCGGTGTAGCTTGTGATTACGGTCTGACCAGTCTTTACAAAATTTACTCTTTTTACTTTTGGTATTGATTGTACATTGAACTTTTAAAACTAACTGAATGGTTAAATATGAATAAACTTTCAATTAATTTAACTAAAACCAAATATACTATCTTTCATCGCCTCCATAAAAAAGATAAAATACCTATTGCACTTCCAAAACTTATTATTGGAGAAAACAACGTAAAAAGAGAATGTTCAATGAAATTTCTAGGTGTAATACTAGATGATAACATAAATTGGAAAGACCACATAAACATGATTGAAAATAAAATTTCTAAAAATATCGGATTACTCTATAAAGCAAAACCATACTTAGATCAATCATGTTTGAAATACATATATTACTCATTTATTCAATCTTAATTATGCAAACATTGCTTGGTGCAGCACCAATAAAACAAAGACAAAAAAGCTATTTAGCAAACAAAAACATGCAATCAGATTATTATCAAATGCACATCGCCTCTCACATTCTAGACCATTGTTCAATAATCTAGAAATATTAAATTTGTACCAATTAAATATATATCATCTGCTAATTTTTATGTATAAAACTAATAATAATACAATACCAAATATCTTCAAACCATTATTTAATAAAACTCAACACAAATACATGAATAAATATTCAAATAACAACTTTGTTCAACCCAAAGCTATATATGAGCCCACCAAGTTCTCAATAACTATTAGAGGACCTAATGTATTGAATAAGTAAACAAAAGCTAAAACTATTGTTTTTAAATAACAATCAAACAGAGAATTATTTTTAAATCTATTTTTAAAAATATTATATTTGAAAATTATCTATTAGTGCATACTTTATTTATCTGGAAAGGAATAAAGCCTTTAATTATATATACATTACTGTCAATTATATTATGAAAAAGTAATTATGGGTTTACAGCATTTATGTACGAATGTGTTTGTACGTGTATATGTACGAGTGCGCAAATGTGTATATGTATACATACACACATACATGTGTATTTGAATGTGTATATATATCTTTTGATTGTAAATTAACATTATGTTTTCATTTTTTCATGTTTTCTTTTTTGTTGTTGTTGTTGTTGTTGTTGTTGTTGCTGTTGATTTTTGTTTTCTTGAATAAATTATTAAACTTTCTTTCAATGAATAACTTTGAAATTTGAATATAAATAGCATTGCATTACAGATTTAACCTTCAAGTTATTGAGAACTTTTTAATTAATTAAAAATATTTTTTAAACATTAAAAATAACTATGAAAGACTCTATTAAACTGGTTTGCATTTTGTATAAACTTCTTTGAAACATTTTGCTTTTTTCTCTAATTTTTAATTTTTAATATTAGTTACAATGTATTTATATAAATATTGAAAAAACAAGGGGCTTGGTGATAACGCAAACATGTCTTCTTCTCGTCCTTGCCATTTTTATATATATTATAAAACACGGAACTTGTAAATATTTGTACGGCTAAATAAATAAAGAAAAAAAAAATCATTAGAATTTTGATAAACAAAACAATGAAAACATTTTTAATATATATTAGCACAACCTACACTTTGGTTTTAAAAATAAGCAGCATTAAAAAGTTGTGAGAATGCAACGAAAATGTAAATTTATAATACTTTTCTACTTATAAATATAAATTATGTTAATTTATAATTAAAAACTTTCTTTCTAAGAATTGTCAAACTCTTAAGCTCTACAACTCATTAATGACTCAAAATCTGACTACAACAAAATCCCGCAGTGTTGTACTTTTTTGTTGAATTTCTTCGTTACAAAATCTTTAGGTTTTGATATTTTGTTCTTGCTAATATTATCTAACACTTACTTTACTCAACGTAGTTAAGGCGAATTAGTAAAACCTAGGTTTTAAACGAAATGAAAAAATAAAAGTTAAATTTATTTTTGTTTAATACAACTTCTACTGCTTGTATTTAAAAGAAAATTTATGCCAGATTTTTTTTTTTGTTAATACAGAATTATATAATTCAAATAGCAGAAGTTGCATTAAACAAAAATAAAATTAATTTTTTATTTCATTTTATTTAAAATCTATGTTTTACTAATTCAGCTCAACTACGTCGAGTAAAGTTCAATACCGACATTTCGCAATGTTAGAGTTATTTTTTTCTATCTTCACTTTTTGAAAAAATTGAGTTATTGATTGTGTCATGTACCTCAAAATAATGTTTTTCTACTATATTAAAACCTAAGTTATATTCAAAAAAGTTGTGGAGAAAACATAAGTAATAAAATTCTTTTTATATGCCTTCTCCTAAAGTTTTTGTTTTTTAAATCGTTTTATATCGGTTTGTAAAGTCTCTTTTTGAACTTTATAGGGTTTTGCTCCGTCGGTTTGCTTGGTGTTCTTAGCGTTCAAAAAGTATGATCATATAGAGGCCCCCCCCCGCCCCTTTTAATTTAAGCGGGTTAAAATTTTATATGGTCATTATTTTTTGAAGGCTAAGAAATAATACTATGAAACTTAAAATTCATCATTGAATATATATATTCAATGATGAATTTTAAGTTTCATAGTATTATTGATACTATTCTCAACTAGGCTTATATATAAGCCTAGTTGAAAATAGTACAACAAATATTTTATTAACTTGTTGCCCTTACATTTGAATTGAGGGGGTTGGGGTGGGGGGGGAGGGAGGAGGAGGGATAAAATTTAAAGGCTTATTTTTTCCCAGTCTCCAATCATCGCAACTTTTTGAAAAGCATTACTTTTTGACATAAGCAAGGTCGGCGCGATAGGGGGGCGTGACCCCCTTCCCCATCAATGATTTTTAGTCGGCAAATTTGACCCTTAGTCGGCAAATTTGACCCTTTTTGACTAGTTAGTCGGCAAATCTAGACCCTGTCAATAGGTTAGTCGGTAAATTTAGACAGTCAGTCGGTAAATGTCGTCATGGCAGTCGGCAAATTTTCAAAAACGAGGACTTTTTTTAGAAATACCATATGATCTTGAGAACTCAACGGTCTGGAAATTAAAGCTAAAGTTAGGATTCCATATAATACTGCAGTTATATTATATTAAATTATATAACAAAATCTTGATAGGCGTATTACATTTTAAATAAATTTTAAAAGATTGTTTGCAGTCCACAGTATGATTTCAGGTGTTTTTCATTTAAACAATCTAATAGTTTACCTTGCTGACCAGGTATTTAAAAGAAGTATCTTGATTGTTAAAAAATCTTGATTGTTTAAATCCACTGACTGAACTACAATGAATAATTTTTCTCCATCTCCCGGATTATACAAATTTATTGTCCACTGTTGTTATTTTTATTACCCACAGCTACCAAGTTAGAAGGCGCTAAATTCGAAAATGAAGTTTATATAACTTAAAATAATTAAAAAATTATATAAAGTATTTTAAGCAAAAAATTTTAGCAAAATAAATAAAATAATGTTAAAAATAGTTGAAAACAAAAAAAAAGTTTTTTTTATTAATAGTATTTGGAAACCTAATTTTTAAGCATAGCCGCAATGTTCGTATCAAGATATCGACCAGTAGTTTACCTGCAAATATTTTTCATATTAATTGATATATTTGTTAATACTTCTTCATCATTTCTACTGAGAAAAAGTAAAGTCGTAACATTAGTCGCATTTGTGTGAGTGAATTCTCTTATTTAATTGCTAATGTATTTATAATTATGTGAAAACATGTCTATTAATAGAAAATAAAGTTCAAATGATTACTGACACAATATAGTTAGTATTTATACTAATTATATTTATACTATATATAAATATAGCTACTATAAATACTGAGTATTTTTACACTTATATATACATATATATATATATATATATATATATATATATATATATATATATATATATATATATATATATATATATATATATATATATATATATATATATATATATATATATATATATATATATATATATATATACATATATATATATATATATATATATATATATATATATATATATATATATATATATATATATATATATATATATATATATATATATATATATATATATAACAAGTTGAAAAAAAAGTGCATTTTAAATAGTATAAGGCATTGTAACAAAGCCATAAAATGAAGTTTTTAAAGCTGTTTGCATTGTGGTTAAAATTTTATGGTCTTTAAATTGACATTACTATTCCATTGATATATTGATTTACTTGATATATTTTTTCTATTTTAGGATTCAGGATGTATGCATGATTCTTGCACTGATTGTTTTGTTTTTAGTATTTTTCAATACTTTTGTCTTTCAAGCTGGACTTGTATTTTTACTCATACGAAAGTTTAAAGCTACAATACTAACAATACTTCTTTATTTTGCATTATCAGTTGTACTGCACATTATTACTATGGTAATTAAATTTTTATTTTTAAAAAAATATATATGTATAAGGACAAAATTTTAAAACTTTACTTGATAGTATGTGCTTTATTTGGGTTTTTTTTTTGGTAGATATAAGGTTGGTTGTTTTTTCTTTCAAGATAGGTTCTTATCCCACTGAACACATTAGAAGTTTAGAATAGGTCAATATAAAGTTGAAATTTGTCAAAAATGGATAAAACGTTAAGTGACCAAAAATTGACAGTTGACTTGGATCAACATTTCAAGCTTTTTAATGTATATGTTGATTAAACATTTAGAATATTGAATAACATAAGTCATTATTCTAAACATTTAAACGTTTCATGGGCATTTACATAAGAGAATAAAAGAATGCATTACGAACCCATTAGTTTATATGTTTATTAAATGTCGCTTAAATGTTTACAATATTGACTAACATGTTTTAATTTTGTTAATGTTTGATAGACTTTTAATAAATGTATACATTAAAAGGATTGAAGCATATATTTCAAATCTTTTAATTATGTTATCTATTTATAATAGTCAATATTGTAAACTTTAATCAATAGTTAATAAATGTATTCACAAATTAAAAGGATTGAAGTGTACACCAAAACTTTACTTAAAAACTTTTGAAATATAAAAGTGTTTTAATTTTTCTAATTTCAAAAAACATTTTCTAATCATATAAAATTTGTTACAAGACAAGTAATCTTGTGCTACTTTTTATGGTAAATTACTGATAACTTAATAGTAGAATATAGATTACTATTAATTGCATCTCTTAAAGTTTGTGCAGGGGTTATTTTAAACTCTTTTCGTCAGCGTTTGAACAATATATAGGCGACACTTAGGTATTACCCGAATTCAGAGCCTTTTTTTTCTATTTTTTTTATGGCAAATATTGTTTTTTGAGAAAAAATGCCTATATACAGCAATGTTTCTGCCAGATTTCCATAAGGCAGGAAATTATTTAGGCAGTACTAGGACCTATTCTAGGAAAAAAATTGGGCGGCAGTACCCCTTTGTTCCGGCGAACTTTAGTGGAAAATCAGTTTTTTTTTTGTTTTTTTTTGCAAAAAAAAAAACAATATTTGCCCTAAATTCCATTCTCCACTCTATGGACTTGAAACAAGTTTTTGAGCATAAACAAAAGCAATCTGTAATTTCAAAAAATATGTGAATGACAAGTTTTGATGAAAATTATATTTCTTCTCAAATTTTTAATTTTGACATGGCACTCATCTTTAAAACAGTCATTTCATTAAACTTATCCACACTAAGTAAAGAGTTTTCGAGAAGAACCCTAAAATTAAAACTGTATATACTTATGCATCCTGCTAAGTCAAATAAGATAAAATCTTAAAAACAAAAAGAGCCAGATATATAAAAAATAGTGCAGAACCTTAAGTTATATAAAAAACAAATTAGCACATCAAGTTAGATAAAAATCTTTACGTAAAAGAGTTTAAGATCACCTACTTCTGTTTTTTTAATAAATCTTGTGTTGCATAATTTATGGACAATCCCAAGTAATCCCAATATTAAACTTTAAAAGAATATTATACAGTATTGTGCAAATTAGTTCGGACAGCGGCAAAATTGGAATAATTTTCACAATATGCCCAACTTTTAGCTATGATACTAAAGATTCTCTTATTTTTTCAGATAAATAAGTGTTTTACTGTAGTCTAGTAATATATTAATTTTTAAATCTAATTAATTTATTTTTAGATGTCATCTAAAATAAATTTTTAGATGACATCTAAAAAAAAATTAATTAGATTTAAATTTTTTTTTTAAAAGTTTACTAAATTTTAGGGTCTGAATGTTTAATTATATTTTAATAATGAATTTAAATTTAGTACTCAAAAGCATGTATTTAGTCAATTTTGTATTCTGTTTTCATTACCAAAAACTGAGGACAAAATGATCTCAATATACTTGGTGAAAATTTTTACGACAATGTCATATTTTTATTATCTTAATGTTTCTTCCCAGTAGTGAATGACTGAGATTGAACTGGGGCTGCAACTGGGGTCAGGTTTGATCAAAAATGGCCAAAGCCAGGTTAGTGACCAGGGCTGCATAAACATTGATATATCCTAAAGTATATTTTTTTTATTTGAAGTTCATGTGAAATTTTATTTATATATTCATGTTTATTTAAATATAAACATCATTGTGATCAAGATAATTAACATTATCATCATTATCATCAATTAGCTATATAATTAATATAAGATAATTAACATCATCATCATCATCATAATCATCATCACCATCATCATCATCAAGTTTTTTTATGCTGTTTCTCTAATATAAACAGTCTCAAGCATTTTCTTTCCTTAACTAATGCTCAATCATACCATATGTAATTCACTCTCTCCAAGTTTTCTCCTGAAGCTGCAACCTCTCTACATGCTGATACCCAATTCAATTTAATCTTCTCTGACAAACATTGTTCAATATAATATTTTTTCTAATATTTGTTTAAAATTATGGCTCTTTTTCTGGTCTTCTTAGAGTCAACCCACACACATTCATCTGATCATCATCTTCCTTCCAGCAAATACTACACTACATAAATACTGAAGTTTATATAAATGTGTAAAGATATTGTATGACAGCATCTAAATAAATAAAAAACAATATGCTTATCCATTTATATCCATATTATGTATGCATAAATGTGCAACTTGCTAGGGCTGTACCGGATATCGGCTCCAGCTTCTGTTCCAGATGAAATCCTAGTTTAAATTTCTATCGTCTACTCAAATTTCTATCATCTATTCAAATTTCAATCCTGGTTTTCAAATTTCTATAAATTTCCGGTTCCAGCAAAAAATAAAACGGCAACATTTTAGTTGAATTTCTGAATTTTGGTCAGATATTTATTAGATCTTTTTTGCCTGTGTTTACATGTATACTTAATATTTTATTTATACAAATCAATGTTGTTTGTAATTCTATATTCTATGAACTCCATGTTTGTAATGGTATCTGTATTTACATTTCTTTACAGTTTAATTAGTTAAGCCTAATTTCAAACAAAAACTCAACAAAAAATTCTTAAGGGAAGGCATACGATATTCTGAGTAAGACACACAATAGAGTCTGAAGTGAAGGTACCAAGGATGCGGAGTCTCAAAAAGACTCTGAATTTGAAAGTCACAAAAAGATTACTTTATTCTAGTTTTTGGTATCCAGGAGCTTTAAGAATATAAAAAAGGTTATGGGCTACTAATGGGGAAAAAATCAAGACTAATAGGTCAGAAGAACAATCAATTTTTGAACCCGTAGTACTTAGATATAATAGCGGCAAGGACTCCGGTACTCCAGGATTTCGGGCTTAAAAACAATTAGTTCCAAGTCATAATATATCATAAATTTTTTTATATAGCAGATCATTAATCAACCAACATGTTTAGAGCTTCTGGACACCAGAGAACATAAAAAAATAAAGTTTTAAAGGGATGCGGAGTCTTTTTGTGACTCCGCATCCCTGGAAGACACAAATGTGGTTAAATATACATGCAATAAAGTTACTGTGCAGAGTATCGATGCAAGATGGAAGTCAATCTGAGCATGCTGTGCAGCACACATTGGGCCCAGAGGTGGAAATAGTCAAAAAATATTGGTTTGAAAAAGTCTATAAAAATTATTTATTTAGAAAGTCAGATAAATTTGTGGATAAATAAAAAATTAAGTTTCTAGCTAATTTCTAAGTGATGATATGCAATTTTGAAGTTGATGAATTTCCAATTTTTTATGAGTATCTATAAAAAGTTTAGTAAATTCAGTTTCCATTCAAAATGAATTTGCCGACATGAAAATTGATAAACCACTAATGTGAAAGTTGTTTTTAATTTGGTATAAAATATATTTTTGAATAAATATATTAAAAATTGGTTATTTAAAAAAAAAGTTTTTTTTTTAAAGCTTTCAAAACTTAATTATGTAATTATATTATAAAATTATGTTGTTGCTTTTTTACAAAAAATCTTAGATTTTTTCAAAAGTGCTAACTTGCCTCTACTGTGTCATTCATTTTTAAGATATTAAACATTTCTTTTTATCAAATATTTTAAGGGGAACTGAGGCAAGTTAGCACTTTTTATTTGTCTATGTGATTTAAAAAAGTTGAACAGTAGTTATTATTTTTTTTCTTAAAATATTTAAGTATTTTATTTTTGAAAAAAATAAAATATTCAAATATAAAATAAAATTATATCAAAAATTATATCAATGTCAAAATTTATCAGTAGAAACTTGGATGCTGTACGAAAAGCTAATATTCCTACTAAAACTGGAGATTTTGACACGAAAAAGGCTGACTAAAAAACCACAAACCAAACCTGATCAAAAAAGCATATGTGTTACACATACATATATAAATAGCACTACCTGGTTTTTAAAACTACTTTATTGGTGTCATATAGATTATAGAATTTAGGTTAAAAAAACAGGACCACTTGTTGAACCAATACGTAATGCAAAAGACAGGGTTATTACTAAAATAAAAAAAAACACTGGACTATGATTAGATATGTGTTGTAACTCTGGTGAAAAGGGAGAGACATTTGCAACAGGGTCACAAGACCATATATTTTTTTCTGAAGAACTAATTTCTACCAGAAAAGATCTATGCTCTCCTATGTACAAAGATAGCATGTTACTACTACATTCTCATATCAGTAAAATATTTAGTATAGTTTCTTGTAAGCGTATAATTAATTTCAAGAGTTATTCAATAATGCTACACTTAACATTATTACAAATATGCCATTGGCACAAACTTGACAAACTCTTCATGGTGTCCTTCATCATTCAACTGAGTTGATAAATTCTAATGATGGTTACACCCTTGGCAATTTATCGGAGGAAGGTCTAGATGCAAACAACAAAGATATTAGTAACTATTTAATACTTCTTTCTCATAAGACATTGTATCTAGAACAACTTACAGGTGTGATGATTTGTCTTTAAGAGAGATCGAATCCTTAT